CTTCCCAATTTTATTGACTTTGACAAGGTAGTTGAGAAAAAAGGAAGCAATCATGCTCCAAAAGGCTTTACAATAGTAAACTGATTGGGGGCGGGGTTGGTCAGGGAACTCGAATTTCGGAGTAAGAAAATAGGTAATGATTTAGGTCAGTTTTGGTCCAAAACGAGATCTCGAGATTCAGGTCAAATATACGACGTTACAGCAATTATAGGAGGACTGTGTGAATGTGGGCTACACCGGGAAGGGGTGGTAGTAGGAATCTAAAATACAGAGCAGAGTTCCATAAGGAGAGAGAGCGTAGAAAGCTGCAATTTCTGGATAGCGAATGTGATAAGTTGGTAAGATTACGAGTTGCTGCCTTTCTTCGTTTAAAAGAATATCCTTCGGAGGAAAATTCTTAAATATAAACAGGCAGAGGCTAGGGCTAGTCGGGGATCAGAAAGATAAAAAAGGACTACTTCCGGTCTTCTTAAATAGTATCAATAAGTTTACAAGTCGTCGTACATATGGAAGAAGCTGAAAGCTTTGAAAAAAGGTTGGATTCGTCGCATTGCTCGAACGAGTTAGTGAAGAGGTAGTGGAGAGGGTGGAAGGTTGGGATAGACTCTTATGCCCATCCTGGTAGCAAGAGGGGATCCGATGTTAGAAATGGAAGGGGATGTATTTCTGATTTGCCTATCACGGTGGAAGGAATTAGAGGTGCAATTGAGAATTCGAGGACTAAATCTAGCCCGGGGTTGGCGGGATCGATTATTTGTTGATTCAATCGTTTCCTACAGACTCAGAGGGCCTCTTGGAGTTATACCAACTCAATTTTTGCTTCGGGAATCTTCCCAAACGAATGGCGCCAGTATTCATTTTCTTCATTCCTAAGAGTCAAGGGAACCGCTGTTCGGCCAATATCGTTGGCACCTTGCTTGTTAAAATCTTGGAAAAATTCTGAACCTTAGAGAATATGGTGGTTGGAATTTCATTATAAAGTTCCTTGAAACGCAGTTTGATTTCGAAGAAGTAAATCATGTTTGGATAATTAGCTATACTGAACGCAGGAGATTTGAGAGCTTTTGACAAGAGCAGTGTTTGTTGGTGCTCTTTTTTTGGACATTCGAAGCGCATATCATATGATAATTGCTGCGGAGGGATGTGTTACTTAGTAGACTAATTAGTGTAGGATGGCCTAAATTAATTTGAAATTTGTGCATACTTAGTGTCGGAGAGGGTAATATCAGTCAAATTACGACACAATAGACTGTGTCATAGAAAAGTCTTCAGAGGGTTACCTCAGGGTAGCGTACTGAGCCCAGTTTGTACTCAGTTTACATGATGTCTTTGAGTCTTGGATGTTGGAGGATTGCAAAATTCTTCATTGCAGGTGATGTATGTATTATGCAGTTGATAAAGATCACAAAAAAAGTGTTAAAGTGTTATCGCGTCGGTACAAATGGTAATGATTATTTCCTTTTTTAAATGACAGTGGACTTGAGTTGCTCCAGAAAAGTGCCAGTTGATTGTTTTTTAGCTCCGATCCTAAAATCGCGACTAAGTCTTGGTGTATAAAAAATAAATAGAGAAAGAATTTGGTCTCAGCAAGTCATATAAATTTCTGGGCATTCTGTTTCACAGCTCGCTAAAATGGGATCACCAAGTCCAAGCTATAGGTCCAAAGTGCATTTAATCCTATGGCAATTATAACTATTTAAGGTTGACATGGACTGGGGCTGATCCTCCAACGTTGTTATTAGGTGTATAAAGCCTAGTTAGGTCCAGAATTGAATATGGTGCATTTCTGTTTGTTGTCGCTCAAGAAATCCCTCGAAAGTATTAGATAGAATCCAAAACAAGCGTTGAGGTTAGCAATGGGGTATAGAACTCAACTCCGCTTGAATGTGATAGCTGCTGAGTCTAAGACCACCTTGGAGTTTAGATTTAGTATATGACTCATAATTTTCTAACTCGTTGTTTTCTCAACTCAAACCATAAAGTATTGCTATCCTCAGTGAAAACATATCCGAACTCAGAGAGTGTCCTACCATGGTCTTTAGTACTGAAACTCCAGGGTTAGTACGTTGTTTTCAGGGAAATAGAACCAATAATCATCTGATCTCTAGTGATTCACGCCCTAACTGCTTTAGTTTCCATTCAATCGATGTTTCGTTCCCAGCCAAGGTACCTTGGAAGAAGAGAAAGAATTCAGGAAATTCATACGTCCAAGCCTCTAAGTGTTGAAAGACAGTCTTTTTGGAATTATTCCGTGAAGAGTTTCGTGATGCCGTAGTAATTTTTACAGATGGTTCAAAGACGATAGGTAAGAATTTGTAGGGTTCGCCTACTTAGAAGTCGCCACACAGCAGTTGTGAGCCTGAACAGACGGTAAAGTACGCTTCAATTTTCTCTGCTGAGGCCATGGCGATAATTGCAGCCTTGAAAAAATTTGCTAACACGGATTAAATAAACTGGTTATATTTTCGGATTCTTTAAGTGTCCTGAAGCGTTGGCCTCCATTAGATCCGCCGGGTAATTGAACGTTGCTGATCGTGTGAAATTTGTGAAATCTAAACATTTAGTGTACAGTCTACAGGTAACTGGTAGGGTAGTAAGTTTTTCTGGATTCCTGCACATGTAGGGATTTCTTATAATGAAAAAGTGGACTCAGCTGCGAAAGATAGCGTTATGAAGGGTCGCGACTCCCAGATTCTGCTCCCAGCTCCGACTTCAAAGCCTTTTGGAAGGGAAAATGCATATGACTTTGGTAACTGGTGTAAATGTGAAGGGTTAAATAAAGGAAGATTCTACCACGAGAATTACTATTCAGAGAGCGCACTCCCATGGTTCGGTAAGTTCAATTTAGCTAGAACCTCTGGTCTCCATTAATAGACTTAGATGCATCACTCTAGTCTTAAAGAAAGTCTTGCTAGATTAATATCATTCGATCTGCTATTTGTGAATGTGGCGAAGCCGAGGAAACAGCAAACCATGTTTTCTTTCAGTGTAGTAAGTACGAGGATATACGAGCATTGTTTTGCAAAGATTTAAGGAAACAAAAATCCTTTCCTCCGTACTGCATTGAATCTATGTTACATAGTATGGACCGAGGAGTCATCTTTGCGGTGGCCAGGTTTCTGAACAGTATTGAGTTAAGTATTTAAAGATAAAGAGGTCTATTTTTTAAGGTATCTGTAGAGAAACAGGAAGCAAAAGTGTCTATACAGTTATAGGTGTTACATTGAATAAGTTTAAAAAGGAAAAGAAAAATGTATATTTGTTTGTCGTTTATTTTATTTTCAGTTTTTGTTTTGTTTTCTGGTTCAATCATATATAAAAAATGTTATATAATATTGGAAAAAATTGTTATAGAAGGTGTTAAGAAAAATTAAATCTAATTAAAGCTAAAACTTAATGTTAAGACCAAGTTAAGGATATGCTGTACTGTGATAAATGGTTAAAATAAGTACAAAGCTTTTGTAAATCGCGCCAGGAAATTTAGTATAGACCATACACTGTATAGTTCTAAAGTAGCAATAGTCTGTTTTTAGGATGTAAGTATTCTTTGTAACATGGTTGGTTATCTGGGCTGAGCTTGGACTCGTTGATTGCCCCTACCTTTGTATCTCTTCCTTTTTTTCCAATAAGATTTTTTGGGTCCATAAATAATAAACAAAATATGTTAATAAACCAATAATATACTTATTATTCAACGGTTAATTATTAATTAAAACAATTCAATATAATACATATAAAAGTACTAAAAATCCCACAACTGTGGTGGTCTTAGACTCGCTTTCTATTAGCTCGCTTATCGACTGACTGATCCTCCTAGTTGCGCTTGCTGTCCACCAGAGGTTCAATTTGCTCTGCTCGAACCCCCACATCCACTCCTTCGGAGTAACTTTCCGCGGGACGCTCGAAAGTTTTGTTCTTCTTTTTCCTGGTATATGTTCGGACAGGTCTGTCCATTGACGACGTCCAGTGATGACCGACATGGTTGCTCATCTTCCGTTGAGTCTAGATTTGTATTTAATGTCCGAGGGTTGATTTTTTCTGACGTGATCTTTTTTGATGAAGAGTTTGCCGGTGTCCCAGGCCTTTCTGTCTCTTTATCTGTGTTACATTCTGGATCAGTTTTACTTATATAGGCTGGTTTTAATCTGTCTATTGAATAATTTTGAGGTACTCCATTCACTTCAAGACGATAGACTCTATCAGAAATTCTATCCAACACTTTGAATGGTCCCATGTAGGGTGGTTCCAACGGTGATTTTACATGATCACAACGTATCAGAACGTGCGAACAAGCTTCGATATCTTTTAAAATAAACATCCGTGCTTTCACATTATGTGCTGTTGCAGTTGGTCGAAGTGCTCGCATAAACTCTCGATGTTTTTCAATGAATGCTTGAGGGTCTGGAGGTAATTCTTCTGATACAAAAAATTCTCCTGGTATTCTAAGATTGATACCATAAAGCATCTCTGCTGGTGTTGCTTGTAGACTCTCTTTAAAACTGTTCGTAGACCTAACATCACTGTTGATAAGACTTCCGTCCACGGTCTCGGTGAGCACATCAAAGCTCCCTTAAGAGTTCTATGAAAACGTTCTATCATCCCATTCGATTGTGGGTGATATGCGGTTGTTCTGTTTCTTTTAGCTCCAATAAAGTTTGCTAGTGCATTAAATAATGATGATTCGAATTGTGTCCCTTGATCCGTCGTAATAACTATGGGTGTCCCGAACTGAGCTATCCAATGATCGAATAATGCAACGGTGATTGTTTCTGCTGTCATGTCTTTAAGAGGTACTGCCACTGGCCATCTAGTAAACCGATCTATTATTGTCAGACAATATTTAAATCCATTTACTTCTCTCAGAACTATGATATCGATGTGTATGTGTGTGAATCTATTGTCTGGAACATCTATGTGATTGGGTATTAATCTGTTATGGCGCTGCACTTTGGCCTTTTGACATGCCATGCACTCACGAGACCATTTCACTGCATCCTTCTTTATACCTGGCCAAACAAATTTTTCTCGCAGTTGTTGTGACGTAACTTTGCGACTTGGATGTGATAAATTATGAATAGTGTCAAATGCAGTCTACGAAGACTTTCTGGAATGTACGGACGAACGATGTTATGTGTGATATCACAGTAAATCTTTACATTAGGTTCCACTTCAATTTCTTGTAAATTAATTGATATTTGACTTTCAAGTATCTCTGGAAGTTCTTGATCTGCTTCCTGTGCTTGCTGAATTGTTTGTGCGTCAAGAATGCTCGGCATAGTGATTGCATTGATACGTGAGAGTGCGTCTGCGACTACATTTTCTTCTCCTTTCACATAGACTATATCTGTAGAAAATTGAGAAATGTAATCCAATTGTCTAAGTTGTCTCTCAGACGCTTTTGACATTTTCTGTTTAAAAGCATAGGTTAGTGGCTTATGATCGGTTCTGATCTTGAACTTCCTACACTCCAGGAGGTATTGAAAGTGTTTGATCGCTGAAAATATTGCTAAGAGCTCCCTATCGTAAGTGCTGTAACGTTTGTTCTGTTGCACTTAATTTTCTTGAATGAAATCCAAGTGGTTTCCACACGCCCTTCTCCAGTTGTTCAAGTGAAGCTCCTATTGCTGTTGTTGATGCATCTGTTGTTAACATCAATTCTGCATGTGAAGATGGAAAGTCATTTTAGTTGTGTTAGCTAATTTTTGTTTTAATTGCTCAAAACAACTTTCTGCTTCAGGGTTCCAATTAATTTTGGTTCTATCATTCTTTTTGGATGTAGTGATGTACTGATCAAGAGGTGTTTGAAATTTTGCCATGTCAGGAATGCATCTTCTATAGTAATTTATCATCCCTAGAAATCTTCGTAGCTCGGTCACTGTTTCTGGCTTTGGATAATCAATGATTCGTTGAAGTCTGTCATTCGTGGGTGAATAGCCTTGAGCACTGATAGCAAACCTAAGAAGTTTACTTCAGACTGTAAAAATTTACATTTGTTGACATTGATAGATAGTGCATGATCTTGTAATTTTTTAAAGACTTGACGAAGATGACTACGATGTTGCTGCTCATTTTCTGATATTACCAGGATGTCATCAATGTAGACGAAAACACAATCCAGATCTCGGAAAACTGAATCGATGAAACGTTGGAATGTTTGTGACGCATTCTTTAACCCAAAAGGCATAAACAAATATTCGTATAGACCCCACGGAGTTGTAATGGCAGTCTTTTTGATATCCTCTTCACACATGGGATCTGATGATACGCCTTTTCCAGGTCCAAGGTTGAAAATACCGTTTTTTTATGCAAAAGAGGAAAGAGGGATTGAATTTGTGGTGGCGCATATTTATCTGGTTCTGTCACTGCGTTAAGCTTTCGAAAGTCTCCACACGTGCGCCAACACCCCTTTTCGCTCTTCTGGACGACATGTATTGCGCTGGCCCAAGAACTACTGGATGGTCTAAGTTTACCTCTTCTTAATAAGTCTTGGAGATCAGTTTTAGCAGCTACGGCTTTGTCCCCTGATATTTTTCTATATCTTTCTGAAACTGGAGGTCCCGTGGTAGGAATTCGATGTGCAAATTCCATTTTGCTAGGTGTTATTGCATTTTCTGAAGGCTTAGTGATACTGATAAACTCTTTTAACAGATCAGAACAATTTATATCTGAGCTGACTGTTGAAATTCCAAGAAATTGTGTTTGACGAAGTTTACCTTTCGTTGATAATGAAGTTGTTGAATCTATTAATTGCTTGTTTTTAAGATCAATGAGAAGGTCATAATGAGCTAGGAAATCAGCACCTACTATGGGTGTGTCCACATCTGCTATTATGAATGCCCATGGAAAAGGTCTGCGAAGATTGAAATTCGGTTCCAATGTTTTTGTCCCGTAAGTGCTAATCTGTGAAGAGTTTGCTGCGTACAATGTAAAATGTGCTTGTGATCTTCCTCCACGAAAATATTCAGCAGGAATTATAGAGACTACGGCTCCTGAATCTATTAAAAATGTTAATTTTGTTGATTTGTCAAAAATATGAAGTCGGGGCTCTGCAGAAGATATGGTGTTATTGTTATTATCGCTACCATCCACTGCCCCTATGGTTGGCAGCGTTGATCGTTTCCCTGTTTTAGTAATGATGAGAATTTACAATTGTCTTCACATTTCACAGCTTTCACTCCATGCTTCAAGTGATACCAACAAATACCATTGGAATGAGGTGATGACGATCGCGTTGTTGAGGCCTTAGAGAACGACCTATGACGGCTCCGGGATCTACGTTCAGCTCGCATATCTTCAAGCTCTTGGAGAACTGATGTAAGAGCTCGTTTTAGTTCATTCACTGTTTCTTTTATTGAAGTTAATTCTAATGAGTCACTTGGTTTGCGAACATGAGATGTTGCCATGATGGTTGGCTCTTTCATACGTAACATAACGCGATCAGCTATTTCAGCAAGTGCATTTAGAGTAATTGTATCTGAAATTTCTAGGAGTGGTGCGATTTTTTGAGGAAGACGCTTCAACCACAACTCATGAAGGACTTCGTCACTCAAACTATCCTTTGCTAGATTTTTCATTTCACGTAACAATTCTGAAGGTCTTTTATCTCCAAGTACCATCTCTTCTAGCAGCTTATGCAGTTCCGCTTGTCGGGTATTTTTAAATCTGTCGAGAATGACCTTTTTCAGGTACTCGTACTTATTTTCTGCTGGAGGATCTCGAAGTACATCAGATAACTGCCTTGCTGTTGTTCGATCTAATGCCCTCATGATATCATTGAATTTGATATCATCATCTGTAATTTTAGCTGCACGAAAGTCTGATTCTACCATGAGGAACCAGAAATCGAGGTCTTCTTTATTAAACGCTGGAAGTTCGGATCGTCTGAAATTGTAGTAAAATTGGCATTGTTCTGCTCATGTTGCGTATGGATAGCCGCGTTGACTCTTGGACCATGTGGTGTGCTAGCTTCCAGCTGCGGATCTGTTAGATCTTCAGTAATCTCCCCATCGAAAGATAATAAATCTGACATTTTTACTTTCTTCTCTGTACCGTTATCCGTCATGATAAAATTTGAAAATGCTTGTTGCAGAAATTGAAACAATATGGCGGTTAGGTGTTCTAACGGTTTTTTCCCAGATCACGTCGGGGTCACCAATTATGGATATTTTGGGTCCATAAATAATAAACAAAATATGTTAATAAACCAATAATATACTTATTATTCAAACGGTTAATTATTAATTAAACAATTCAATATAATACATATAAAAGTACTAAAAATCCCACAACTGTGGTGGTCTTAGACTCGCTTTCTATTAGCTCGCTTATCGACTGACTGATCCTCCTAGTTGCGCTTGCTGTCCACCAGAGGTTCAATTTGCTCTGCTCGAACCCCCACAAAGAGAGAAGGAAATATCACGAGGTTAACGTGAAAGAGAGTGATAACAATACGTAACGCAAGAAAGAGGGCACTGTAGGGAGCCCAATGTGAAAGAAAGTGACGAAAGACACATTCAGTAAGGGAGAACACATGATAGAGCGCTCGATTAAGTAGAGTGAAACAGCGAGCGAAAAAATCTTGAATAGCAGAAATATCGCTGTTAGGGGCGTGGCTTATTTATAACTCCGTTAATAATTAATAAAAAATTCTCGTTTAACGTTTAATTGGAAGCTCATGATATAAGATAACTACCTATTAAATATGAAATCATAATATGTAGCAATTATAAAGATATTTGCATATAAAGATGCGTTGATGACGTCACACAAAATTTTTCGTGTATAGAGTAGTCGGTAGCCTCGGCGCTCATGGGGGAAAGAGCGCGCTAGTGAGAAAGAGAGAGAGAGGGAAAAGGTGAATGTGCACTTGGCGCCGAGTATCTACCGCTACTCTAGATGCTTTTACCGAAAAATTCATACATATAAATTATATATGATATGGAATCGTTAAATTACATGCATACATAAAAATAATTGTTAAATCATGTATGTCCTACAGGTTTGTTTGTAATTTTCAAATTCTCTAGTAATAGTTTCAAGAAATAATATTTTATACAGCATAAGAAGACTTATTGAAAAATTAATTAAGATTAATTTATCTCCATATTCTAAATGAATAATTCATTAAGTTCTCAATTCTGAATAATTAAATATTTTAATTATTTAATACATTATTTTATGGTTTACGAAATTATTTTTATTTTAATTAAGGATAAATATTATAGATGATATTGAAAATTATTCAAGATAATACTTTACAATAAATAGAGTCATAAGATTTAAAACAAAAATACAAAATGGAAGATATTAAGGCATCAATTGTTGTATTCAATTGATGTGGTTGTACGAGAATTTCAAAGGACGGGAGTAGTTTTTAAATGGGGCCAATTACAATTTGGTTACTAGAATATGCTGATTACTACCACAAAAAATCGATATTTGTTGTTTTAAGCCACTAGAGGGCAGGTATGTACACCAATAGATCGATATTTCTGTTCCTTAGTCGGTAGAGGGTAGGTATGTATATCAATAGATTAATATTTCTGTTTTTAGTCACTAGAAGGCAGATATACTAAATAAGTTCCGTTCTCCTAGAATCTGAGAGAAGCGGAATAATTGAGGAAATGTCAAAATTTGTTGCAGGAAATAGGTCTTTTATAAAAACTCGGTGATTGTCGCCGTAATGTAAACATTCTGCTAATGATCGTACAGAAATTATGCAATTACAATGTAAAAGATGTTTTAAACTTTTCTTGCAGATTTGCAGTATGACTTATTATTCTCCATTGTGATGTAAATGTTATTAGAAAAATTACTTTACTCATCGAAAATGTATAATTAAATGAAAATAAAATCGTTTGAAAAAAGTATGTTGTCATGTTTCTGCTTTTCTCGATCATGAATAATTTTCAACGATACTTTTCCTTTTTAGAAGAAGTAATATTGCAAGAATGACTACTCTATTTATCTTTCCTTCAAACACTTACGAATCTTCGCCGAAAACAATAATCGTGGAATTGCGAATAAACACTCCGACATGATCGATGTAAAAGATTCAATCTTTTCATTATATTATACGATGTTAACCGTATATTTAACATTGATCGTGTTTTTTTGTAATTTATCTTTTTCTTATAGATTTCAGAATTATTTTGGAAGTTTGGCGACAATCACCGAGTTTTTATAAAAGACCTATTTTCTGCAACAAATTTTGACATTTCCTCAGTTATTCCGCTTCTCTCAGATTTTAGGAGAACGGAACTTATTATGTTATATGGTGTTCAACTGTATATCTGACATTTGTTGTGTTTTTCTGTGATTTTTCTTTTGTTTAAAGAAACATTCATTTTTCTGCATTTTACATACAAAGTAACTACTTTTCGATAAGAAAAAATTTTATGGTAAAAAAAGTCGAATTCAATGCTTAGAATCCGTTTTCAATTCTTTATAACAAAGTAAATTGGTATTAACAAAGAGAGTTCGTTTCTATTCATGTTATGTAGTCAGTAAATTTTTTTTAATTAAAGGAAAAGTTTTCCCTCAGAAGAACTCAAATAAATTGCATAGACCCCGTTTGCACCATTTCATATCAAATTTGATTGTTGTCAACAAAAAGAGATCATTTCTTTTTATATAACAGAGCTAGCAACTTTGTACTGATAAAATAAAAAATTTTTCGGTGAAGAAACTCGAATTTATTGCATAGATCCCGTTTTCAATTGTTCATAACAAATTTGATAGTTATAAATAAGAAATATTTGTTCTTCTTTATCTTACATGGTTAGTAACTTTTATTGAATAAAAGAGAAAATTTCCCGTCGGAAGAACTTTAATACTTTGCATAAATCCCATTTTCCATTGTTTATAACAAATTCAATTGTCAAAAATACAAAGAATCAGTTTCAAAGCAAGTTACATGCTGTGTAACTTTTTTCTAGTAAGAGGAAAAATGTTTCGTTGAGAGAACTTGACTAAATTGCATAGATCTCGTTTTTTATTGTTCATAACAAATTTAATTGTTATAAACATTTCACATAAACAAAAAGTAGTCCATGTCACTCCTAACATTTCTCTGTTCATGTCTGCAATGTTTCATCGAAATCGGCCCGAGTAGAAATGAAAAAGGGCATGCCCTAATATGATCCGGACCGGATCAGGGTCTAGTATGGAATGCCGTAATACGGTATTTATATATGGTCCCTATCAGGTACTAAAAGGGAATACCCTGTTACGAAATCCCTTACCTATCCCAATCCGGTCCTGATATTATTATCTTATTAAACCTTTCCAAGGAACCCCTTACATTTCCCAATTTGACCCTGACTTTATTGTTTTTTACAAAATCCTTTAAGGAATCTAATACTTATTCTTATTTAATGCTGATTGTCTTATTGAAATCGCTAAAATAAACTTTTTCTAAAAAATTTTTGTTAGTCACTTCTAATCTTTGAATAGTTGAATAATAATAAACTTTGACTGCCTTTCTCAATCATTTAAGAGTATTATCATTTTTAAAAAGCGTTCGGCCGAACAAAAGAGGTGCGACATCTATAATAATTTACAAGCAATCTTGACGATCCATATGTTTATAGAAAAATTGACAGAGTGTGAGAAGGCTCAAAACATCACGATCTGCGTATTTTATGTTTCATTTTTTTTAAATTTGTTAATAAAAAAACGACCAGATAATGGATGATCTGAAAATTCATTTCGATGATAATGATATGGTAAAGTAGTAGTAATAGTAATATAGTAGAGAGTCGACGTTCATGATAGGCGCACGCTGTTTTTTAACCTTAATTTTTCTTACTTTAAGACTCGTTGAATTATTAAGTACGATTTTAAGTTATTCGAACACATTTGTTTGTTTAAAAGTAAAAAATGGAGTCAGACAAACAAAAACGAAAACTTGAAAATACTCGGTTAAGAGTTAAAAGATTTCGTGAGCGTCAAAAAATGATTAAAAGTAACTCTGCCTCTGAGATACTTTCTGTAAGCAAAGGTGAAATATCGGACATTTCTTATCAAGAACCTTCACACTTAGAACTGGAAGCTACTGAAAGTGATTTTATGATTCATGATTCAAGTCTTTATAATTACAAAAGTTATGCTCGTATAAGTACCAATGTAATTGGAGATGATGCTCAGCGTCAAAATATGATTGAAATTAACTCTGTATTTGATATGCCTAGTTCAAGTGGAACATTGGACGTTGTTTATGAAGAATCTCCACAGTTAGAACTAACTACTGAAAGTGATGTTATAATACCTGATTCAAGTCTTTACGAAATTTACAATAATTATTTACATACTAATGTAATCGAAGATAGTGTAAGTGATGATATAGGAGATGATTATGTGAATGATGATGATACAAATGATATTTATCACGACGAAAATTTAACTTCAGAGGAAGAACTAGATTCTGATACTGAATTTGATGAAGTAGAAAAACTTCGACAATGGGCGATTTCATCAAATTTCGCTCATTATAAAATCGATGAATTGTTAGTCATCTTGAGGAAACGGTTACTTCCAGAGCTGCCCAAGTCAGCAAAAACTTTTTTAAAAACATTATCTTCAAATTATAATAATGTAGCATTTGATGAAACATCAGAATTTGTTTATCTTGGAGTGAAAATACATTTAATTCAATATATAAATCTATCACTTCACTCCAACGATCAAGTAGAATTACTTTTTAATTTTGATGGGCTTCCTCTATACAAATCTTCATCGAAACAGTTCTGGCCGATTTTGTGTCAAATTTATCATACATCATACAGATACAAACCATTCATCGTAGCTATTTATGTCGGTAATACCAAACCTTGTGATATTGAACGATATTTAGAACAATTTATTTGTGAAATGAATGAATTGCAAAGTGAAAGAGTAAATATTAATAATAAAATTTTTAAAGTTTCTATTAAAGCCTTTATTTGTGATAGACCGGCTCGATCTTTGGTAAAGTGTGTTAAAAATCACGGTGGTTATTTTGCGTGTGAAAGGTGTAAAGTAAAAGGTGAAAGAGTTCAGAATCGTACAACCTATCCTAAAATA